GAGAGAGAGAGAGAGAGAGATAGAGAGGGAAAAGGAAACTGTGTGCGGGCGGCAACAGCGACGAGGAGTTTGAGGGTTGAACGAGCTGACGCTTTAAGCGATGTAAGTTACAGAAACTACGCTTCCGACCAGTCTCGGGCGCAGATTAGTCGTAATCTCGGCGCATTGCACTCTGCAGCCGTTTCCAACCCCCATCCCACCCCACCCTGCTGCTGCTGCTGCTGCTGCTGCTGCTCGAGACCTCACAACTACAAAGCTTTCCAAACCGTTACCTTCTCGCTGAACCAAGACGAACGTATTAGACGCACCTAAATTCACGTACACCGGAGGCGTTCGTCCTGTGTTGCCTCGACATTGCGACACGCGGAACTCTCTGTATTTGCCACTGTATCGCCGCTTTGATTATTTCCTGAAGGCTTAAGCCACTACGTCTACGCCTTCCTCCGTGCGGCTACGGGTTACAACTCGCGCGGCGAAGATTAAACGCTTCTTGGTTTATGGCCTCGTAGCCGGTCCTTAGACTTGGTTTACCTTGGCTCAACGAGATTTTCCGCGATAACCTCGCTTCCTACCTTTTATACGGCTGTTGCTGAAAATCGATAGCCCGGTGATTGCACATTCGTGCTCGAAAATATCGTACCCTCGCAATGTACTTACTTACTGCGCCAAGTTAGCGTCTGTTCCTGGCTACACTTATGCGAGTTTTCACATAAAATATATTGAATTCTATGTAGTATCTGATTGAGAATGGAAATGAGATTAGAGACTATGGCAACGGGCGTGCTATCGAACAAACCACGTGAATGATTCCAATCGCACGTTGTTGTTCATATCTGTTTCTTCTCGCGAAGAAATGACGGACGAACCGCAAGACAAAATAGAAAATAAAACTGGAAAGACCAACGAGAAGAATCCAGTGACTTTCGATAGCATTTGGTAAAGATACGCAACAGGCAAACAATGCAATAAGTATTACTTACGCGATAATGAGTACGTGTAAATGAGTTTTAATATCGAACGAATTACGTGAATTTCAGTAAAGAAGTTATACTACGAGACAAATTGTTTCGACGCAACTGGTCCAGAAAGTACGAACATCTGTCGGGTGATTTTTTTAAGAAGGTACCACGAACCAACCAGTAGGGAAACGCGCAGTATCGATAATGCCCGCCACACGAATTTTAATGTTCCCCGGTGTCACTGACCGTAGGTGCTGGCCGAAGAATGTAAAAAGGAGGGATTTCCGGCGGACACTTTCCAATACAAACCGTCGGAAGATGCGATTAAGCGTTCACCGATTCTTCTGAAACCATCGCCGTCCATTCCCAGAACGACATCCGGTATGATTGGCTTACGATCATCTCATCCAGAATACAATCTCGAGTTTACAGGTCGTTGGCATATTTCGCCAAAACAAACGATCGAACCACCCGTGGAACCTGATGAATTTCGTCTCAGGCAGCAAAGATTCATCTTCCTTGGTTAACTAGTGGAATATATACTTTATACACAGGACACTCTATACTATATTCAAATATAAATCGTCCTGATCGACTTATATTTTTATTATACTAACATACGTCAATATAACGTAATATTCTTCATTTCCGAGTATTCTTCTTATTTCCAAAACATGACTCGTACAAAAACGTTGTGCATTTGATTTCAGTAATATAAAAATGGGATTTCATTTATTTTATTCTTCACATATTTACATTCCAAACCATTTTTGTTTGAGAGTCGGCGGTAATTTCTCCGTCAAAGACATGGGGTTCACTTCAACTGCCACTAATTCCTCATCTGTCAACCAGTCTAGATACACCAGATGCTGAAAACAGTGATTGTAGTAATTTGATCTTCGTATACGAACTGTACCGAACTGTACAATGTTACGAATAAAATTACCTTGTATTTTTTGAGAACTTGAAAAACTTGCTGAGATTGCGAGCTCATGACGGAATTACTGTCGTCAACGTCACCGTTCTCGCGTTTTGGAATTTTTATTTCTTTCTCTGAAAGCTCGTTCAATTTATCGATGACATAAACAGTCGAGTCGTCGTGCATTATTATAATATTCTCGTTACGTGGATCAAAAATGATATTCGTTATGGGAAACGGTCGGGCCAGCCATTGCTTGGGAAGTCGATTTTGTAAATTATTCGAGAAGTTGGTGTACTGCCTTTGTAATATATTATATTCGACGATCTGAAATGAAACGATCGGCGATTAAGTGTGAAGGATGATTGTTCATAAAATGTGTAGCTTTATAGTTTTTAATTTCGTCTGTGATGTTGAAAGTTATAGCAATAATTTACTGCAAGTTTCATGGAAGACAGAAAGTATAGGTCATAGGAAGATTATACGTTCTTTATAGCTAAGTTAATTACTATTAACTTATCGTTTTATTACACAAGATCATTTTAAATGAGCGAATATTTTTTATATCACAGGATTAAGGAAAATCCTCGTTACAGGTTATAAAAAAACGAATTCTTTTACTTTACCTTGTGGTCAGAATATACAATAACTACATTTAGCGTGTCTTTTTGACACGCCATAGCTGTTGGTGGACAACTGTACTTGGGCAGCAACCATGCCATAGGTCTGTCATTACTTGCAGTTTCATTAATGGTATACACAGCAATCCTACCCACACGATCGGCACAAATAAAATATTTATTATCAGGAGAAAAACACGCGATTCCAACATTTACAATGAATTCCTTATTCGTATAAAAGTAACCAAGATGCCTTAGACGTTTCTTTTCAACTTTGTACAATGTTATAACGTTATTTTTTCCATCATTATTTATTGTTACAAATAATTTTCCATTCGGACTAAATAACATTTTCTGTACTTTGGTTACAGAAATATCAATGTCATTTCTTGATAACTGTGGATCACCCTCAATCACATCAAAGTTAAAAACTCTAACATGACTATCAGTAGAATAAACAATTGTTTTAGCATCCTTGTTTATCGCACATGAAAGAATATTTTCTTCTCTTTTTGTTTTTAATTGTAGCAATTTTATAGGCTCCTCTTCTAGTTGATGGAACATACCAGGACGTATTGATTCTGAAGGTACTTTAGTAGATGATCCAAGCCTCCACAGCTCAAGAAAGTTTGTATATTGTAAAAGAATACATCTGGATTTTCTACAAACGTTAGCACATGGAAGCTGGAGTAACGGTGGATATTTAATCAAAACTTTTGGTGGATAACTAGACTGAGCTAGATATCCATCTACACCAGCTGAATATAATTTTCCATCTGCTTCTACTAAAGCTCTTACGTCGTGAGTATGTAACCTTCTTTCAATTCCTTTTACCCACTGTGGTCTACCACTTGATTTCATAGTTATTTTACAAAAACTTCTCACTACAGGATCAACACCAGCGCAGTACACGATATTCATGTCATGAGACAAAGTTACAGCTAATATGTCAGCTGTATGACTTTCATGGGATTCAATCAAAGTACCCATATGAGGATCCCAAAATGATAAACAGCCACGTGAATCTCCAGAAATTATAATATTGTCATCTGTCACTGCTAGACACCAGATAATAGTTTCTTTCTTCGCTTCTTTTCTGGAAGTTGTCATTTTATGAACTGCATGGCCAGATATGGCATTCCAAACTCTAATCGTGTCAACTGATCCTGTATAGATCATGTCCCCGGTGTTGTCCCATTTAATACAAAGGATTCTTCCTTTCTGTTTGTCAAATATTCTTTCGAACATCAATACATCGGGCAAAATGGAGAATGTATTGATATATCCATCCTCTGTACCCACAGCTAAACGTGTCTTTTTGTGATTAACATCTATACACCAGGCTGCACCTCCGTTTACTATAACCTCACTTTTAATAGACAATGTTTTTAAATCGTATTCTGTTATCATACCATGAAGACCAGTTGAAAACAATCTCTGATCTACCCACAGAATAGATTCTATAGAGCATTCTGGATGACCAGGTATCATACATTCCACAAAAGGTGCATTTCCAATGTTCCAAATTTCAATCGAATTATCATTCCTGTAAAAATGTCGCTATATACAGTATTATCATTTATGAAGTTTAAATAAAAAGCATACTTTGGAAAACTAACCTTGCAAGAGTTAACTTTTTTGTCTTAAGTTCATAAGATAAACAAGTAACAGATCGGGGTTCAAGGTTATAAAACCTAATGTTATGTATTTTACAAGTTGACATGATTCACTTAATTCTTTACAACCACTTATAATAACATTAAACTCTACATTGTATACTACATACTAGAGAATATAACCATAGTTGTCATACACGTGGATCCTGAATCTCGGAAGCGACACTTTTCGTATTCTTACGTTGGTATTAATTATGACTAGCTGTTTCGAGAACACATCGAAAAATTTTCAACAAAATCATAAACAAAATCGTAAAATAAGCGATAAAAAAGCCATAAAAAAGATGAGCGATTTATTTTTCACAATTCGATATTATAATATTGCTTACATTTCTTCTTATATTTACAATTACTTATGAAAATATTTTATCATATATTTTCTTTATTTGCCATGAAGTTGACAATTAGATAATATTTGGATATTTTATGTAACAGATAATATCAAAATTCTTCATCAAATTCTTTTTACGTATAGATACAGATAGTATCACGTAATTGTGCAATGAAAATTGAAATATCTTTACGAAGAAATAATGAAATCATTCTTAGTTTAGTAACATTGAGAGGATCATGTTACAAAGGATCATGGCTTTGGATATATAGAGAATTTGTGATATTACGTAATATTTTTCTCGAAAATCTAATATAGGAATGTCGTATATGTTATTAACTATTTAATCTGAACTATACACCGAGACGTTACGCAGGCGCAAAACCGTCGCATCTCAATATTTAACCTACTTCATATCAGTTACACACTCGTATGAGTTCAGTCAAACGCTGATAAGCGGGGCGCGTTGCATTTTGTAATATATACATATATACGTGTTGCTAGTGGTAGAAACCACACTGTACTGTCACAAGCAATCAAGATTAACGGTGTAATTTTCTTAAAGCAATCATCATTTTAAACAGTGTCAATCGTTTCTTCGTTTAAGGAATTTAAACGTTTTCTGAAAAAGGTAAATAAATTTGGCTTGTATTCGGCGCACGAATGTGATTATCGATTATTGCCATTTCCAGAAAGTGCGCATGACGTATCAAGTTGACGTGTACAATTAGCAGTTTGTTTCTCAGTTTAATATTATACATATTCATAATGAACATTCATAATGTTATTGTAAAAATAATCTCATTTCTTAGGATAAACGCGTTCTAGTAAATTTCAACGTTTTTATTACATTAACTGGCGACATAAGAAAACGTTGATGTGTCATCATGTCACTACCGTATTTCGTAATATTCTATTTATTTGCTTTGCTGTCGGAACAAAATCATTTTCTACTTCCGATAGATCTCGAATTAGGTTAAATTTCAAAATAATTCCAAAAAAGATCTGTTACAAATAAGAATGCTTGTTATATATAACTTCTGCTTTTTTTTATCCGTAGAAAATATGTCGCAATCTACGCTTTTAACGAAAATATATTTTTTAACAGCAATATTAGATTGTAACAATTCGTGTAATATTATACGTAGACGTAAATATAGTGATAATTATTAATTAGTCTTCTAATTTTATTTTCAGCTGATGTTAATGCTTTGAAAAAAATTAATAAAGTTTAATTATGCTCATATTTATAGTATTTAACGCATGATATGTAAGTGAATTTTTCCATACCAAGAAAATGATCTTGTTAGAATTCTGTTAATAATCATCCATAAAATTAAACAATATATTATTTAAAGAGTACTTATAAATATGAGCAGTATCTTATAATGTTTAAACCTATTTCAGCTATTTTATGTGATATTATCTTTCTTATTTTACTCTATTGGCGTTTAAAACAATCCTATTTAAAAATTGAAAGTTTTTTTAATGATTTTTATAAAATTTGTCAATATTAAAAGATTTGTAATCAATTGTTATTTTAAAATTAACATTTCTCTTATTTAGAGATATATAGATAATTATTATGTTAAAACTCAACAATATCTTTTGTAGCATTGTACTTTTAAAGATTAGCATGCATATTTTTGGAAGTTTTAAAACAAGTATAACATTAACACATTAATTTAGTATAGGAATTTCTAACATAGTATTACTTTGAATGTCAAATTTTTTGAAATTAAAAGAGAGTATTTTTTGAAGAGTACATTCTTTTTAGTAATTTCATGTCTAATTTTGTTTTAAGGCTGTTGGTACATTCGTGCGCTGGTGTTCCATTGATGTTCTGTTATTACAACAGTATTTTGTGATAATAATAGCTTCTTTTTCAGTTAAAACCAAAAGATGACAACTTGGCAAAACACACCAGGTGCAGGATTTTATGCAGGGCAACAAGGTTCTGATCTTTTTCCTAAATTATATATATTCTTTATTATGATATTACACCTTAAACATGCAACAAAATATTTAGCAAGCTACAAATGCCATGTTGCTTGTTTCAAGTTTGTTTCAACATCATCCAATGTTACACGTTAAATCATCAATCATAATTTATGGCTATTAGTTATAAAAAAAATAATAATGTGAAAATAATGAAAAATTAATATAATTAAAACATGTTATGTGATTGCCTTGAAAAAAGAAATTACAAATTGAAGGGAAGCAATGTATTTAAAAAAAATCATGCACCAATATTTAGTGGCTGTTAATGAAGCACAAAATCTTATGAAGGGTGATGCTTAACTCAGAATGAGGACTCTGTCTAGATGTAATATTTTATTTTTTTTTTTTATTTGATTGTGCAGGTTATCCTCAACAAAATCCTGGGTATCCATCCCAAGAAGGATATAATCCTGCATATCCACCACCTTACGGAGCAAATCCAGCACCTCCACCAGGTTTGTTTAATCTCATTATTTTTTTTATACTCTAATACTCTAATTTCTTTGCAGTTGTTGTGACATTTTGTTTATTTTCAGGTTTTGTTCCTCCAGGGGCACCTCCTTACGGGCAAATTCCACCAACTGGGCCAATATTTGGCGCAGGACCACAAGCAGGCATGTACGGGTCAAATTATGAGGATCCTATGCAATCTGATGTTATCAAAGGATTTGAATTCAATGATAAAAGCATTAGAAATGGATTCATCAGGTAATATAATTAATAATATCATTAATGATGTATTATCATTAATAATATGTTGCAATATTTATCAAATTTAATTTTTATCTGTTTTCAGGAAAGTTTACAGTATATTGATGTTTCAATTGTTAATCACAGTATCAATGATTGCACTTTTCCTTTATCATATACCTACTCAAAAATTTGTGAGGAGTCATTCGGAGTTGTTTTGGATTTCTTTTGCAGCAACTATTGTCCTGATTATATGTATAGTTTGTTGTACCAATGTGAGGCGAAAAGCCCCAATGAATTTTATATTTTTGTTCCTATTCACTGTAGCAGAAAGTTTCTTGTTGGCTACTTGTGCTTCTACATACGAGTCTGAAGAAGTAAGATCCTAAAGATTACAGCATGATTTTTTAGTTTTTCATATATTAAAATAATTATTTAATAAAAACTATTTTATCAAATATTTCTAGGTATTATTGGCCGTTGGGATTACTGCAGCAATTTGCTTTGCATTAACATTATTTGCGTTCCAAACGAAATTCGATTTCACTGGTTTGGGTAGCATTTTGTTTATTGTATTGATCGTTTTCACACTTTTTGGAATAATTGCCATGATATGGCATGGAAAAATTATGACCTTAGTATATGCATCAATTGGAGCTCTTCTTTTCTCTTTTTACTTGATTTACGACACTCAACTGATGATTGGAGGAAAACACAAGTATGCGATTTCTCCAGAAGAGTATATTTTCGCAGCGCTGAACCTTTATATCGATGTTATTAATATTTTCCTTTACATCTTGACAATAATTGGTACTTCACGAGATTAAATATTGTAAAATATATTTTTTTGTCGCTGGATTAATCTTTAACGCAAAATGCTTTTACTTATCATTGTTCTGTTTTGACTCTCTTTTTTTTTGTACATAGAGAGTACATTACAGAAAAGCAATGAAAGGCATTAAAAGAAAAGATATTGGCAGAAGAATATTAATTTCTATGAGATAATAGCTTTTACACAATTTTCAATGTATAGCGAACACAGAGATTACAATTATTTTAAAGTTCGACGTCTAGTCTTGTAAGTGAAATAATTCCTATACTCGCTGGAGCAAATAAGTCAATCGTTATATAGTTGGAAATGTTTACATATAAATAGGGTTATGCAAGACCCAAATACATAATTTACACATCTAATCATAATTCCTTATTTCATCTTTCCTATTAAAAAAAAAGTATCAGTTTTCATTGAATTTATTTGAAAAGGTATAATTTATTTTGTAAAAATGATTGGTTTTCTTTCATTAAAATATAAATAAATTCTGTATATCCAGCAAATAAGTGATTTCATTGTTATAATATGTAATATGAAATACATTTTAACAATATTAATATCTCCGTTAGATATAGTGTAACACTTAAATATTATAATTCCAAATTATCTTAATAATCTATACATATATTTACTCGTTATGTGTGTTAGAAAATAGATGTTATATTATTTCAATATATTTGCATAACAAAATAAAGATTTCAAAGTATTAAATATTATCTTCATCTTTTGTTGTATAAATTTATTTAATTTACACTATAAAACAAATTTACACTATAAAACAAAATGAGAATTATTATGGTGATCATACAATCAAAAATGCGTATAATTAATAATTCATTTTAATATTACTATTCAATTTAATATTGTTGTATGATTACAATTTATATGTATTACAAAGGAAAATAAAAACAACTATTTCGAAATCGTGAATATTTATATTTGTAGTAAATTAGTCTTACACAAATAGGATAAAAGCTCTTAGTTTTAAGCTTTTAGATTTTAACTTAAGATGTAAATAAGCATATATAGTGCAATGTCCGTATGAAAAAGCATTCAATGTGTACGTAGATTTTTTTTTTAAGATCAAGAGCCCACATTCATTCTCACTTTTCTCATTATGGTAACAAATTGCAGCCTCATATAACAAACAAATTGTTTCTAGTTGACTTTGTTCGTGCAACAACGCATGGAGTTTCATGGAAAACAAAGCTCCATCAGCAGTATATATTATTGATTTTTTGTTCATTATAAAAGCTATGATAGAGCTTTAACGCTTGTATACATGCAATAGACACATAAGTACAGTCATATATACGACAAACAGCATTTATAACCCACCCTTTGAAATCCAGGTATAATTAAAAAACTTCACTTTCAAATTGGAGTTACTTCTTTTTATACTCTCTGAATTAATTTTAGACATATTCCTATCAGAAATTTCACCAAATAAGTTCAATTGAATTTGATTAGGCAGTGTTGTGACGAGTTTAATTATTCTATTATGCTTTTTTAAATTATGCTCTAAATC